TTTAGGTTAATTCTGAAATGCCTAATCTACTGGGTTTTTTTAGTTTTACCTGAGAACTAAATCCATATTAAGAGCTCCACAGAAATCGTTTATATAGATGTGAGGCAGAAAGTGTGTGAAAATAGTTTTTTAAAAAAAAAAATGGTTAAATAGTGCATCATAATTTATTTTAGAAAATACTTTTGAAATGAGCAGAAGCTTCAATAACTTAGGTTTTGCTATTGTTTTAAAAAAGTTAGTTATTAATCCTGTTTTTATATTCTTTATCAATCCTCACACACATGGCCATTTTATCCACTTGGGCTATTTGATCTTTATATTTTACTTATGAATTAATTTATTGAGCTGTTATCTGTACATATTGCTGATCAACTGTGATTAATTTCCTCAACTTTCTAAAATTTTCTCAAAAGCTACAATATATCATGAAATTTTACTTTGTCATGCATTTAAAGTTTCCCACATATTCTTTATAATTGTGGATTTATGGTGCTAATTTTAGTCCAAATTAAAGTACAGTAAAAGATTTATTATCCAGCATCTGCTGAACCCAGGTAATGCTGGATAGGTGAAAATGCTGGTTAGAAAAACTTTTCCATAAAATATTTCAATTAAAGGAAAATTTTTGAAACCTTACATTGTTAATGTTATAAAGTACAGTATTTCTACATCTATAACAGTAATAGTTTTGAACACTAATAAATGTAAAAAAACAAATTGTATAAAAACTCGGTACAGTATTGTAAATGTGGATCACGGTACAGCCTGCTGAAAACCGAAGCTTGCTGATGGGAATGAACATGAAGCTACAGCAGCACCACTAAGCTACAATGAATATTTATATTCCTAGATATTGAAATTTTCCATTACAAGAGCTTTCCAGATATGAAGATGCTGGACATCATAGTTTTACTGAAATATGATGTTATATTTGAAAGTTTTGCATTGTGTTTTAGCGCAAGTTAATGATGCTGTATAAAATTTCCAAATTTCATGTTTCGGTGTAGAATAATTGCTTTATAAGCATCATTTTGGAATCTTATGAATGAGGACTAGTTTTCAAATACACAAGTAAAGAAAAATATAATTTACCCTTGAAATTTTACATACTTTAAAATCGGTGACATGTTAATTAAGTTGTTAACTTGTATATTGCTATCTATTTCTACAAATTCATGAAACTTGTATGATTTTTCTTGTTGTCCTTGCTGAATATACAATGTATAATAAATATAATGGTAACAAAATTGTGTTCAACATGAAAATTTAGACCTAGCTCTAATAAATGGATGTTGTAATTACTTTATTTACTAAAGCAAAAATATATTTTGAAGGGCTAGCAGTTGTTAAGGTTTAACATTGTTGTTTTTTTCATAGAAAAATTGGGACAGTGGGCATGGCTCATATTTTATGTATTTATATATAAATCATATTAATTGCATGATATATGATAAAGATATTTAATTATAGTTGTTACAATAAAATATGATATATTTAAAATATTTTTGGTGTATATATTGTGTGTAATATTGTTTTGTGATTCCATAAAGTAGATATTGTTAGTTCCAGTAGTGTTTAGGACAATATTAATATAATTAGTGTAGCTAAAAATATGGTGTATTTAAAATATTTTTGGTGTATATATTGCGTGTAATATTTTTTTGTGATTCCATAAAGTAGATATTGTTAGTTCCAGTAGTGTTTAGGACAATATTAATATAGTTAGTGTAGCTAAAAATATGGTGTATTTAAGATATTTTTGGTGTATATATTGTGTGTAGCATTTTTGTTGTGATTCCATAAAGTAGATATTGTTAGTTCCAGTAGTGTTTAGGACAATATTAATATAGTTAGTGTAGCTAAAAATGTAAGCATTTATTTGTATTGGTCAGGATTGCATACACATTTCTGAGTTAATTTTATTTTTCAAGCAAATGACTCTTAAATATGCTAATAGCCAAAAGTGTAAAACAGTAATATCTGAGTTATTAATAACATTGTGATCTAATTTTGAAACATTAAACAACTTGGTACAGTAGGTCTTGTTGAAAGGTTTCTCATTACTTAAGTCTCATTGATGATTGATTGGACTGATTAATATGTGGTACAAAGGAAAAGCTATTCATAGTGTTAGTGGAACATTTATGGGTTTTTGAAAAATTATCCAAGATTCCTTGGTTTGTTGAATATCCTGATATTATACATTCTTAATTATAAGAGATGTATGTTGTGTAATGGAAGTATAATTTGTTTTCAGAAGCTCAATTTATTTTTAGTTTTTAATGTAGCATTTATATGGTGTATTTATTTTGAATAGTTTTATATGATTTATAATTGATGGTTAGCTTTATTTTGTATGTATAGTAGCAGAGACTCACAAAATATTTGCAATCATATTTGTATCTTTATTGCAACAGTATTTCCTAAAATACAGGATTTTCTAGAATAATACAAAAGGATTCTAATTGCAGACATTGAAATTTAAAGTCCACTTGTCTTAGGCCTAAAAATAGTTAAGCCTTTATTATGGATGGGGGGGGGGGTAATAGAAATAAATTAACACTATAACTTGTATAGATGTTTTTGCTTTAGTGTATTTAATGCCAAAACTTTACTGTTTATATTGCTATCAATAGATAAACTTGATGTTATTCTACAATCTAACATTAGACAGAATGTTTACTAAAGTATATTTACATCCACCTTTTGTTTACATCTGTTGAAATGAAGTGTGCAGACATGTGCATTTAGATAATAAGGTGTGCATGCATTTTTAGGACAATCAAAAACTGGGTATTATTATAATACTTATATTCATAAATATACTCAGTTGAAAAATAGCTTTGATTCTTTTAATAAACCCTACTGCTAATTTTCTCCCTCAGACTATATGCCTGGTGGTTAGCATGATCAAAACCCGGTTCTGAATGAGCTCATCCTTCATAACATTATAATGTGGGGGTCAATCCCATTATTCTTTGGTAAAGAGTAACCCAAGAATTGGTAGTGTTTGTTGGTTGCCCTCCCTGTGGTCAGCAATTCAAAATTAATGACAGTAGCAGATAATCTTTGTAGCTTTGCCATAACAAAGACAGGGAAAACAAGTTTAGTGGCAATTTGATGATTATTGGAATACTTAGAATATTTTGAAAACATAATTTTGTTTAGTTGATCATTTTTGTGACAGGCAGTTTAATTGTAACTTCAATTCATCAATAGTTTGAATAATTGGATACACTAATCTCAATTAGTTGATTATTTTTGTGAGAATGTATTTATAATTCCAAAACATACTTTTTATTTCTGTTCACACTTATAGCTATTACTCGTCTGCCAGGGTTTCTTCCTTTGCCCATCTAAGCATTTATCTGATTTTTTTCTCACTTGCTCCAGTCTTTTATACCCCACTTAATTTCCGGGGGATGTGAATGCATTACTCTGGGGCTACAGGTTGGGATCCACTCATAAGAATCTATATATATATAATAGTGATGAGAAATCATGAAAATTCTATTCACAGTTCATGAATTAATTCCTGGGTCAAAGGAATACCTGTTGTGGATGTAGTGCGGTTCTACCACTAGGGTGCCATTCTTTTATTGCCACACCTATGATCTGTGCATATGCTTTCTGTATGGATAATGTCCTCACTGGTCCCTCCACCTTATCAATGGGGGATTCTAGCTGTAAGTGTGAAAGGAGGTAAGTTTGTTTTGGAAGTTAGAATTTTCTTAAATCAAAAATGTATTTTCGATAATACTTACCTCCTTTCACACACTCCTGTCATTCCTCCCCATTAAGTGCCAGTGTTAGAAACTGGGATTGAGTCAGTCTCAAAAAAGGGATAACATTATCTGAATGAGATGCTTATATACAGTACCAAGATAGGGGGTGCATTGATATAGGTGGAGAGTGTCACAATACAAATACTGCCAAGTGCAATTAAGTGGAGTATAAATAACTAGAGCCAGCAAGAAGAAATCAGACCAATGCTTAGATAAGCAAAGGAAGAAACCCTGGCAGTCAAGTAATAGCTTTTAAGTGTGAATGGAGGTAAGTATTATTGGAAATACATTTTCAATTTTAGAAAATTTTAACTTTCGATTAATCATTTGTTGGAATATTTGGAATCATTAATTTTCATTAATCAGTTTTTATTTAGTGGTAATTTTGATTATATCAATTAAATCATCCAGCTTTATTCTGTCTATAATAAGTTACTGCACCATTTCTTCACAATATAATTATTCATACTTTAGATGCTATTAAGATGAACCAGTCTCATAGTCATTACTCTAACATTACTAGACATAAAAGATGTTTTTTTGGTTTTCTAAATTTCATCTTGCTGAAACACCTATCTTTCAAAAGCACTCAGATTATAAGATATGTTTAACTATGCCATTTAAAAAGAAAGTATTAGCTAAGAAGTTTTAAATATCAAAACAGTAATATGGAAAATTGTTTCTATATTGAAAACAAAATTGTCAGGCCATTATACATGTTATACTCATTATTTTCCTTTCAGTGACCTCTGTAAGAAACCTTTAGTTTGAGCTATATCATAATGCATTAACTCATTTTATACAATATGAATTAGAAGCAAACAATTTTGACCTCTTTAAAACTACAGCAAATAAGAATAGTCGAATTTTTAGCTCCAAATTTTGCATGTCTGGATTTCTTAAGTGATGATTTCTACTGAATATGGCTTTAAACAGGTTTTGAGGCTACATTCATTAGTTATTTTTAAAACTATTGTATTAAACCTTTTTTAATAATTTTTTATGTGAGCTATTCTGTTTACCAGAAATTTATCTTTCTTGTACAAGTACTGTTAAACTATGATTATAATAGTTGAACATACTTTTGAGAGGAAATTGACGTCAAAGCTGAACAATTATATAACTACAGCACTTGGTCCTTGGTGTGCACCTGTCTCTGATTTTGGTAGATGTGTAGAAATTTTTATAATGGTGTAAGTACTTGTTTCTCTCCAGGTGAGTAAGAGACGTGGTGGAAAAATCCTTAAAACTGGCATGGTCAAGAAACTGAAAACTAATCCTAAGAAGGAGGTGAGGTTTCCTGAACTTCAGTTTATTTTAATTTTAGAAACATTTTTATTGACAAGCCCTGTGATTTATTTATAGCCAGATTCCTGCTCTTTTTAAGGTAACTAGTTTTGTTATTTCAGTTATTGTGTATTTAGATGGTAATATTAACTGCTTTGATACCTTTGTAGATATTGGTATTTTTTTTAACTGACTGTATGCTTAAAGGAAGAGCATGGAAACATTTTCTTTTACATTTAATTACAATTTATTTAGTATTGGAACTTTTTCAGATTTATTTTCAGTACTAAAATTGTAATTAAATGTAGAAGAAAATATTTTCATGCTTTTGCTTTAAAATATACAATTAAAAAATATCAGTATCTACACATGTATGGAAGCAATTACTGTTAACATCACGTAAGATAAGGAAAACCATACATCTCAAAATTTACAAACACTATTAGCAATCTGCAGTATTGCTTCACAATATGTAACATAAAAAAACAGTACACTATACTAATACATATCCACTAAAATTGTACAGAAAAGGGACTGAGTTATACTTGTATTTTCAAAGGTGAACTATTTTAGAATTCTCATTTTTAAAATGAGAGCTGAGTTCTTTAGGCTGAATGTTCAGCCATTAATTGATCTGAAAGCTAGAACTTGGAAACTGTCAATATAAATAGAATGGTGGTGATTTTCTACTATGGATACTAATTGGAGAAGTCTAGTAATTTAAGTTTTAGGTAGAAACCTGTGCATGTTCATAGACTTGTACTGTAACATTAATATAGTTGGCTTTACATTCACCACAAGTATATTTTTAGGCAATGTATGCGTAGAAAGAAGGTATAAGTGTTTTGAATTCAGCTCTCCTTAACTTTAAATGCGAGAATTTTAATATATCTCTTGAGCTATGTAATTATGAGTATTTACTTTTTTTATGTAATTTATTTTGATTTGTTTTTACACTACTGCTTACTTGATTTATGTAATTACAGATTGTAAAGTTTAAAAAGTAAATATGGTTTTATGTGATGTTCCTCTCACCTAGACACCACCTTATCTGTTATCAAAGTTTCACATAAAGATGACAACATGAAAGACTGTTTCTTTTAAAATCAGATTTGGGAGTTTAAAGTGAAAACGAATTATGTTTTAAGAATATAAAAAAATATATTCTTAAATATAAAACTTTATGCTAAAAAATATATAGAATGTAACTAAAAAAAATATTAAACTAGTTCTTACATTACAAATATATTTGGTATAACCTAATCCTGAAAAGTTTCTGGCATACAAAGTTAAGTCAAAGTTTCTCACCTGTTAGCTAATTTTGTTTCAGGAAGAAAAACCCACAGATGCTTGGTCTCGTTACTTGGAAGAGGTGAAGAAGTACAAACAACATGCATGTGAAGATGACAGCAGAATGAGGCCTTTAGTAAAGTGAAGTGCTTGTTGTGAAGGCAAAAGCATTTTACATTATTGGCTTGAATTATTCAGATAAAATTAAATTACGTATGGAAAGATATGCAACTTTTTTTTTTTGCTACACATTTAAATTTTCCTTTAACACAGATATTGGAAATTTCAGTGACTCCTTTTCATTTTGAACTTTTTTCAAATAATTACACAACTATGTGAAATTTTAACATTCCTTTACCTGTTTCAAATATGTCACCGCATCATATAAATACTTTTTTGATAATTATGTATAGTGTAAATAAAGACTTTTGACTGATATATGGTATTATCCCCTTTATTTTTAGTACTAAGACTATTAATTTAATAATATTCCAATATGAGAAGAAGAAAAAATAGGTATGGTCAATGTCATTTTCTACACATTTGCCTTTTATTATGTTAACCCCTTTTGGCCACAGTTATAGCATGTTTATAACTTTTATGTTCATTGTTTCAGTAGATTTGTAACTTGCTAAAAATGATTTGATAGACAAATCTGTTTTATTTCAGATGTATTTACATTTTGTAAAAAATAGTTCCTTTTATATGCATTTATTCATTTTCTCTAGTTTTGTTAAACTATGATTTTACCACAAGCATAATTTATTTGTTTATTAGATACAATACACACAACATGGTTTTCAGAAAATAATCATTAAAATTGTAGATTACTTTATCTTAAGAAAATTTGTGGTGAAAGACAGAAAAATGTTTAAAAACATTTATATGGAAAAAATCAGGTTATCCCATTTTGTTAACTCAGTATGTATGGAAATTTTAGTTTTGGTTTGTTAATTTTGAGTAAAAAATTAGCATATATAAGAAATAATATAAAAAAAATCAAGTTTTTATTTTATACTTGTTTATAGACTAATCACAAATCTGTGTACATTCAGACTTTGAAATTTGTCAGTACCTTTAACTAATCACTGTTGTTAGTATATGTAATATTCTGTTCAACTACTTGTAGTGTTAGTAACTTCGTAAGGCCTATATTTTTTATTCTGATTCAATAAACATTACTACATCCTGAAAATGCTTCCTTCAGTAACTAAAATTTCATACAAGTATGAGATACATGTTGCTACTGAAAGACAAAAGTACATAGAAGGAAAGTTTACTTAAACTTTTATAACATCATTATTAAAAAAAAGACAGTGAAGTGGAAACTCATGTAATTACTTTTGAGATTCAAATTTCTGTATACTTCTTTTTGAAACAAGTCCAGTGCTTAATGTTTAATATACAGAAATGCTCAGTGAACATGAACATTTATTTCATACAGTGGTTGATTATTTCTCCTGTAATAAATTGACAAAATGTAATTCTGTATTCATATGCTTTGGGATGGGTATCAGTATTTCAAGAGTATGAAGTGATAAATTTGTTTTGCATAAGAACAAAAATTAAAACCACTTAAAACATGCTTTAATTTGTGTTTCTCCTCTCATTGAGTGGTTATGAATTCCCATTTTAACAAGTAAAACCTCATGGTGAAATAATGTTCTTTTAAGGATTAAGCAAAGTTTTCACTTCATCCAGTATGCTGGAAAGCAGCTGACTATCAGTGTTCTTGCCATCTACTGATAATTTGTTGGAGTTCTAAAGACAGGAAAAAAAATGTCTTGTCAAACTTTTAAGAGTACTGTGGTTTTGTGTTATTAATATATGTACCTTAATTTAAAAAGTTTAGTAATACCTTTTGCAGCTTATATAACCAACATTTTCCTATAATAGAAGGTTATTAGAAAGACAGTGTAATGTAGATAAAATATTAGCAACAGATCAGATCAATCCATTTTTATTCTGTTCTACAAGATTTTACCAATACCATGACTATTTCCAACTTCCACTGTTTATGTAAATTTTGATCAAATAAACCTAGAATGCCAAGAAAATTCTAAGGATGTGATGTAAAAGATTATAGTACGTTCGAAAGTAGGTTATGAATACTAGGTTCCATAAAGCCTTGAGAGTGTACAGGATAAATAATAAATTGGGAATTTAAAAACCTGCAAATAGGGATCCTAAAAAAGTAAGCAAACAAGGCTGGAGATACTGTACACATAAAGTTTAAAAACCTGCAAATAGACATCCTAAAAAAAGTAAGCAAACAAGGCTGGAAATACTGTACATATAAAGTTCTGTAGATATTATTTACTCAAACTACAAACCCCTGTTATGATTCCATGCTGTTACCTAGAATTACATTTGGTGGAGTCAAAATAGAGATTTGTAGTTTGAGTAAATAATGTATACAGTATCTCAAGGCTTGTTTGCTTAGATCCTTATTTGCATGTTTTTTAAATTCCTAATTATTTATTTATCTTATTTGTTTGCTTTTCTTATGCTCAACTGTGGGCAAGGGATTACTTGATATGGTAGCTAGCTGATATGGTTCATGATGATTTACTATAGCTATTGACTATTTGATTGCCTTAGTTCGAGATGTAAAATGTTAAGCTGTAGCTGGAGATTGTCGTGAGAATATAGTGAGCATTTATAGTTTCTGTGTGACTAAATTCTCTATATATATAATGCATACCAATAGACAAATATCTGCCTAGAGCCCTAGACTAAGACATAACTATACTAAGAGCGTATACAATTTTACTAGTAAAAAACAGCCTTTTCACATATAACATATAAATCTAAATCATCACTTTAGATAAGCCTTTGTGTCTTTTAAACTAATTACTCTATGAATGTGTGTAATAAAATTTAATATTATCTGTATTGTTTTTTTTCATACATAATATAGGGGTAGGCTCCATAAAGACATCAGTTGTATAGTGTACAAAGTGTTAAGTATCTACATGTTACAGTCATCTAATGTTCATCTATTATTAGCTGGTAATTCACGTTTCACCCTGTACTTAAACCTTTTTAAAAGAGCATCATATATTTGTAAGAAAGCTAACTTCAATGGGTAATGATAACATTGTTTACACAAAAATTATGATGTTTTTTAGCTTATGTAAAATATAGACGAAACAAATCGACTTTTCAGTACCCTATGAACTTCACAGTACCTTAGTGAGTATTCTATAATAGGTTTATGTGCAATAGGCCAAGCTATTTGTGTTGAAGGCTGGGAAGAGAATAGTAATAAGAAAAATAACAAATGGCCCCTTTTGAGCAGATATTCTTTTCCTTGTAAGTCTAACATGCTTTTTATGTGTGTGCAGCCTTAGCAATCAATAGTAAAAGTTTTAAGCTGTTGTTTGAACTGAATCTTTGCTGTTTAAGGTGTTTTTTGCCCGAATGTTATATTAGGGATTTGTGCAATTCCTTGCAATCCCTATTATGAACTTCTAGAGAGCTGAATCGGCCAACAAATTTTCTAGAAGTATTTGAATCTGTGTTTACTATTGTGTTATTGGATTACTTTGCACAAGTAAGTTGATTTTACATTAGTCATAGTGTTGTTAAGGGAGTACTGAATGCCATTTGTAATGTAGGCCTATGACAATGTACAAGTGTTTAAGTTTAGAAATGCTAAAGGAGGAAATAAATTAATTTGTGACTATTAACTGGACTAGACATTGAATTATTTTTACCACATAGTAAAAAAACAACAACAAAAGAATGACAATACAACAGCATTGTATGAATTTCGATAATATATAAGCTGTATCACCAAGCACCTACATATTGGAGTGAGATGTGAATTTGATAAAAATTACAATTACTATTAAATTTTTGAAATTTTTTTTAGTTATATCTCCCTATTAATACATACAAAATAAACTGTATGAAAACTTCTACATGTTTCACAGCAAAAAAAAAAACTTAGATAAAAATTTAACATGCTTTAAATAATAATTTTTTTTTGCTTTAGGAAAACAGTTAATAATTATAACTTTTTTTGTGTTCATCTAAATTCTCTAGAGCACGTTAAAAGTTAACCCTATGAAATTTACACCAAGAATCTTCACCAGTAGAGCACAAGTGATGCTGAGGTTTGATGTCAGTTGACATTTTATGGTACCAAGTTGCTCAAATTACATTTGGTATTCCTTCAAAATCGTCTTTGTTTGAGCATATAGCTTTCCCATACCAATTCTGGAGACTATCAATCAAGGGGAAAGAATTCCCACTGTCCCTATCTACTATCTAGCGAAACCACAGCCAAGGGAACGGGCTTGGAAAAATCAGCTCTCGTTAATCCATTCATGCGCTGCCTCGTCATCTAATTAGTGACTTTGGCTACTGATATATAAAAATTACCCTTTTAATGTCAGGGTCGACACCATCAATAGATGCCTGGTTGAGCTTGAATCATTATAGATTCAGAGAGTCATACATCTGCCATTGCCCATGCATACGAATTTCTTCACTTAGATATTCAGCACTGGACAGATGTCACTGTCCGGTTTGACGGGTTTTCCTTCCCGACTTGGGGACTACTTCCCCTGCCATTGGACATATAGCAGTTGGCGAGGCCACTATACGGGTTTGATGGGTTTCCCTTCCCAACCTGGGGATAACTTCCCCTGCCATTGGACATATAGTGTTTGGCGAGGCCACTATATGGGTTTGATCGGTTTCCCTTCCCAACCTGGGGATGACTTCCCATGCCACTGGACATATAGCGGTTGGCGAGGCCACTATACGGGTTTGATGGGTTTCCCTTCCCAACCTGGGGATGACTTCCCATGCCACTGGACATATAGCGGTTGGCGAGGCCACTATACGGGTTTGATGGGTTTCCCTTCCCAACCTGGGGATGACTTCCCAT